TCTTTTCAAGTTTAATTTGCAGCACTTGGTGGAGGATTAAAGTAATCTAATTAAATGGCCTCATTTAAATTTTGCAGTCACCTATGAGATGGTAGACAGATGTGAAAAGGGAATTATCCATAAAGTGTGAAAGTTAAATTAGCAGCTTTCTAATTTAACTTTTTTAATTTGGAAGATTTGTTTGAGACTTGAGCCTTTTTGTTGGCTCATACTCTAACTGCAGTATGATGCTTGCTGTGAATGAATTTGTCATGATGTTAAAGGCCATTTTTTTATGCATGGAGTTATTTAAAAAAATAAAAGATGTACTTTATTGCCTTTACTATATATATGACATAAGGTAAATATCTTTGACATGTGATATTAAAGCATAATGATTTTTTCATTTGCAAGGGATACAAGTATACTGTAGGCAAGTTTCTTTTTTATGGGTACAGATACATGAATGAGATGCTGTGAAAACTTTTCTTAGATGATGTTCATAATAGTGTTTTTGAGCTAAGTGTAACATTAGACACCTAAAGCCACATACAGGCATTTATTATACATAATGCGTTAAATGTTTTGCTGTTGCTGGGAGGTGAAATACTTGTGTGCTTCTTTGTACGCCTAGGTGAGGGTTATGTCTGTGGTCTGCAAGAATTCACTTACTATTTGAAAACTCTGGATTTGTGTGATTCTAAATGGAAAAGAGCATTACCAATTGTAGGATGCGGATTCTGATATTTTCACTAGTTAGGAGCCCCTAAAAAGCCATGTCTCTGAGTATATTTTTCTTTGTATCTTTTTAATGTAGATTTACTTCCAGAAGTGCAGCTCTGGGGCATCCTATTCATTTACAAAATCCTAAGGGTACTTCAGTTTTCATGAATTCAATGCCACTTGATTTTATCTTAAGTGTTTTTAGTGAGGTCTTGCAGCTTAGGGAGTGACTCACTTTAAGGTAATGCTTGCTGTGGTTACACAAGATGTTTTCTGTACCTTCCATAAATATAATGTTACTTGCTTTGTGTTGGGTCTCATCATGATTGCCATGGTTTAAAAATTTTCATGTCTTTTTCCCAGTCCTGCCAGCTGCATGTAGGTCTATGAAAAGAGAACAGGTAATAGTTTCAGGGAATAACATATGAACAACTGAAACGCTGTCTTTACACCATTGTAAAAGCAGCAGGTGGAACTGATGAAAACATAAAATCCAAGCTAGCAAAAACAAGATATCCTTTTACAACTGTCTTGAAAAAACAGAAACCTGGTCTTGTAAATGCAGAATTTAACACAAGAGTAAAACTTGTCTTCAGCTGCAACATTGGAACTTCTGGACACTTCTCAAGGCCTTATTGTCTCAATTGCAAGTCTTCAATAACAGCTTTTAGACAAGTTGTTGGTATTGTATAGCCAGGCAAAACAGCAGACTAAGTGCTTTATCACTAAAAGGTGAGAAAGACAGAATTATCCAAATACTAGGATGAACATGTAGATGAGTGTGGGAGAAACAAAAAGCAATATATCAAAGCAAGGAGATGAGAATTCTCAAGGCAAAAATATGTCTTTAAGAAGATGTACGTTTATAATATCAGTATGATATAAAATAGACCAAAATGACAGAACTATAAGTTGAGATATAACAAATCTTCATTAAAGACTGTCGTGGAGTCCCTGTGTTCCAAATTGGGTGGAGGGAAGCAAAATTCAAGATACAAAGGAATGCATGAATGCTATAATTATATCTTTACCTCATACTTTTGTAGCTAGGGTTATGTGTTCATGTATTGCAGCACAGAAGTAAAACTTCTGAATTGACTCACTCACCCTGACCTCACGCAACTGTGCCCTGTACCTCAAGTCTTCTGCCTGAATAAGATGATGACCGAAACAGACTATAGTTTCTATACAAAGAAGAAAAAATGGCTAGGAATGTTTGTTTTGAATTGGGGAAATCAGTAAGACCTGGGAAAAAAAATGCTGTGGTGATGGTGGATGATGAGTGATTATTTTGTATCTTGTAATGTAGACATTGGGGAAACTGAAAAAAATAATTAAAAATTAGCTTTTAGTCAGATTTTTGCATTATAGTTTTTACAATTTTACATTGGTGACTACAGGTTTGTGCTACGTTCTATCTTTTAAATATTAAGTCTTAAATATGTAATTTAATAATTGTAACACAGCTGAAAAATTCAGTTTGCTGCTCAAAATAGGTAAATGGAAAAAACCCCAAACTAACCACTTCTTAAACTTATTTTATAGATTTCAAAAGAAAGGGGGAAAAAAAAAGGCAGTTTATCTAGAGAACGAAAGTTGGGGGAGGGAGATGTGAACTGAATAATACATTACTGCCAAATAACTGCTGGTGACAGCTATTTCTCTGGCGTTCACAAAATTTTTAAGGGTTACTTTCTATCACCATGGTATAGTTAGGCACAGGAATGCAGTAAAGATGTAAATGCAAATGTATATAAAATTACGGTGTTTAATGTTTGGTTGATTAAGGTCTAATATTTTTTTTTTCTTTTCCTTAGATTCAAGCACCCTTTAGGACCAATGTACCCAATAGCTCATGGAAGAAAAAAATCAAATCAGGACATCCTTGGTTTCCAGGCTACCGAAATATGGAACGAAAACTTTAGGAAGTGTCTTGCAACCAATGCCAAATGGGACGGCTGTTAGTTTAGCGGGAAATAATGGTGGCAAAAACTTCAACAAGCACAATGGCACTGTCCCCATGTCTTCCTTTTCTTTCAACTGGAAAAAATCAAATAAATATCAACTTAATGATCAAAATGGGAGAGACACCAACTCTAAACATAACTGTAATGAAAAATTAATTGATTCTGAGAAGTATTCTCAATCTCAAGGAGCATTGGGTAATGATGTGCTCAGGGTGGGTTTGAACAGTACTGTTTCAGTTGCATCAAAGGCAGCAAAGCAAACCAATATGTTTGTATCTTCTACTGAGGAGTTAAACCCAAAGTCTTTGCCTGGACTCTCTAGTTCAGCAAAATTCACCAAAGGTACCCTGTCAAGAAGGACCTCATATTCTGGACTCAATGCTCCAAAATCACATTTAAATGGATTTTACGGAAATAGGCCGGTGGTAGGTTTGCAGAGACCGAGAGCTAATTCCAGTGCCACAAGGACAAGTTCAGGAGAAAGCCTGGCACAATCTACAGACAACAGCAAGGCTTTCTCCTGTGAAAAAATGGTAAGATCACAAAGTTTTTCACATTCCATTCAGAATTCTTTCCTTCCCACTGCATCTTTAACCAGGTCACATTCCTTTAATAAAGCTGTGGATCTTACAAGGCCTTATCGTAGTCAAAATCTAGCTGCCAGGACATCTCAGAGGTCGACTTTGTTATCAAGAAACGCACATCAGTTGGATGTACCCAATGGAAATGAACCTATGAAGTATGGATTTACCAGGCCCTACTCTGGTACGTCGGCTCCTTGTTCAAAGAAGCCCCCACTGTCAAATGGATCTGGGTCAGCACCTTCGTTTGGATACAGATTAAGTCGGCCTTCTCTGCTGAAGCCTACCAGGCAGCGATTTGCTGGAAATATCATTGTGGATAGCAGCAAAAGTACAACTCCTGATACATGCATCATGGAGAACTCTGACATTTCAACAACTATTAATAGAGCAATTGAGAAAAACAGTATTATAGAGAGTGATACTCAAAGAACGGAATCTGGTGACGGCCTGCATGAAAGTATGGGAAAACATGGGTCAAAAGTCATGTGTATGAGTGATGATGGAGATGAAATATCTATATCTTCATTGTCATCCTCTGAAAAAAATGATTTGAGTGAAGACTTCAGTGATGATTTCATAGATATAGAAGACCCAAACAGAACTATACAAATACAGGAAAAGGACAGCTGTCTTCAAGAATTAGAGCATGGGAGTATAACGTCAATTGAGCCATTCACTTCTCTCAAGGAAAGTGGAGGATCTTGCTGTAATGCTGATGACTGGCTTGATATAAATGTGTCTGGTAAATATTTTGTTCTGTTTGAAATTTTAGGTACTAAATCAACATTCTGTAACTGAAATTAAGTTGTTTTATGTAATTGCCCATTGCTTGTGAATTGTTTCAGAATGGAACTTGGTTCTATGCTGATCCATTTATTTTCCTAAGTGCTTTTTCTGCATGATAGTTACCTTTCCTAAGCATGACTTTGAAGAGCTGTTTTTCTTTGGGTTAAGAATGAATGATACTTCCTTTAAGCACACTTGTGGTATGGTTGTGGTATTCCTCATGTCCTTGCTTTGCCATTCAATTCTCTGGACTGGTGATCTTTTAAGAAAATTTCTTCCCCCTTGTCGCCTCCTGCCTATGTAGGCAGAGAAGAGCTGTAACTGCTTGTAAGTAGTGGGAATAAATTAAAAAAAAAAAACAGTGGAAGAGATAGGAGATGTTTTTAAAAGCCATGTTTTCAAGTCTCTGGGCTTCTTGTAGTATACGCTTGTTTTAAGAGAAATTACAGTTGGAAAATTGGAGCCAAAGGATCTACTTTTGAACCCACCTTCTAATATGTTAAAAAGATACAGAATTCTGGAAAGTAGCTTTCATGATGGGTGAATTAGTGCAGTGTAAAAGGCTAGCAGAGATTTAGGTTGGAAGGATGCTTAGCTGTAGCTACTGTACCAGCTTGAGCTTTTTTCCCCTCTAGGATGAGGGAACAATACTGTAGAGTGCTTTCAGATATTTCTGTTACAGTACAGTTTCAGAAAAGTTAAGGCAGCAATAATACACATCTCTCTTTTTGGAATATTGGATTTTTTATTTTTTTTTGAATCTTGACTATTCCTGTTTTCTTTAAGCAGTGGATGACAACACTGAAAGCACAAAGCATACTGCCGAGAATGTGATTTCTCCAGAGATGAATTACAGAGCTGGGTCCTCTTTTGAGCTTTCTCCATCTGACAGCTCTGATGGCACATATATGTGGGATGAAGAAGGGTTGGAACCTATTGGAAGTGTCCATCCTTGTGGAAGTTATGAATCTTCAGAAATGAACAGCATAGTATGTATTTATATGTATAACTTGCCTAATTACAGTGTTTTGAGTTTATTGCTTATTAAGTATATTTTAAAAACAGAATTAATGTAGTTTTTTACTTGATAATTGTTTCTTCTTTCCTCTGTAGCTGATAGCTTTTTGAAACTTCTTGTTTAGGAACTCCTGTTTCTGGACAGGTGACCTTGATTAGGCTGTTTACATACTTTTTTTTTCCTTATCCTCAAGTCAGGACAGAACAGGTCCTTCCTTATGCAGTCTCATGGTTGTGCTCACAAAGAATAAAGGAATTAATTTTGGCAAATGATAGGCGATAGCTATTTTCTTCCTTTTTCACTCCTGGTTTTAGAGATTGGTAGGAGATATTTAACCTATCTGACTTCTTCCGTTGTCTTGTTTCTATAATGTGTATGTATAGGACCCTTTTGAACTGAACTTTATTTTGATTTCTCAGTTTGTTCAAGCGTAGAATCTTTAAGGGTAGATACTTGACTGTAGCTCACTGTAGGAGGACTCTTTGTACGTCTCAAATGTGATACGCAATATGCATAACAACCTTTTTCCTATTGCAAAACTTATAACTGATCTGCAAGAATCATCATTGAGTCTGAAGAAGGGATGGAGAGTTGTTGCAGTGCTGTGACCCTCCAGCTGAAGTCAGGGAGCCAACCTTGGGATTTCCGTGGGCGTGAGGAAAATACTGTCTGGCTGTCCTTCATTGCTTTCCACTGTTCATATGCCTTTATCCAAACAGACTTTGGAATTCAGCAATTCAGATTTTATTAACATGTCACTAACAATCAGAACTTCTAACAAAAAGAATTTGGTATAATCAATGTGTCATGTTTCGTGTGTTTCAGGCACACTGGATACTGTGTCACCACTGCCAATTTAATAATGTAGATACCAGTTTGGGACTTGGACAGGGTTTGTGTCACCTGCTCAGACTTTGATTTGTAATTTTAGTAGGATTGTCTGCTGTAGCCCAAGAGCAGAACATAGATTTCTCCCCAAAATTGGGCATAGCTATGTAATTATATTTTTTATGTGTAACTACATACAAATTCCTGATATATTTTCAGCTGCTTGTGGTATGGTCTGCTTTCTGTCTTTAATTATGACGTTGGGATGTAGTGCTTTAAAAGAATTTAGAAATGGTTGTTAACTTTTCATGATAATTGTGGCCAGCTTGGAAAAGCAGTTTGAGACTTGCGTTTTGTAGCTTTATTGATGTTTATAGGGGACAAAAAAGTTTAATGTAGGCCCCTGCAAAAACAAACACCCTTTTTCTCAGACACATGCATGCATGTGCCGGGAAAAAAAGGGAAGTTTTTAAACTTTGTCCTTGATAAATCTTAAATACGGATATTTTTATACATACAGTGTAATTTATCAAACAAATGCAAGACACTACGTTCCCAGTGCTTTTGGATTATGTATCTAGGTTTTTGCTACGTGACTTCCATGCATTAATTTGTGTATGTATTGATGGTCAATCAGTGTTCTGTTTGACAGAAGCTGTTGTAAGCTTTGTGGAGCAGAGGTACATTAGAAGCTTTTGATATTTGTATTCACTATTTTAGTTTATTCTTTTATTGAAAGTAAATAGCTTTTAGCGAGGGCTTAAAAATGGAAGAATGAATTTACTAGGTTTTGAGGACGTGGAGAAAGGAGGAGGTTGTAAGTAAGACTTACTGTTGAGTCTAGAAAGTCATGTGTGTTTTCCACACATTTTGATTTTTATCCTGTTAATGTTGTTTCAGAATTACAGTGCTTACTGTACTGTGAATTTTATCTTAAATGAGAGAAACATCAATAATACATGTTTTATTTTTACAAGGCAGAAATCTATTTTCAGACAGCTTGGTTTTTGACAGGAAATTGTAGCTCTGAAATGTTTGTGGAATTGTGTTTTAGTGGTGTGGTTTGGTTTTGTTGGGTTTTTTTCCTGTGCTTGTTGGTTTTGGTAGAAAGCTTGATACATTTGGTTTCTTTAGCGTAAAAATTAAACACTGATTGTTTTTAATCTGAAGATGCAGAAGGATTTCTGATATAGTTTTTCATTATTTCTGAAGAATTATCTTCTTGGGTAGGTTAATGTAAGCTTTTGTTCATGTTTTTCCTTTTCTCTGCAGACAATGAAAATAAAGACAGGTTAAAAAAAAAAACCCTGAAGGTGTTGAGAATAGTGATTGTGATTAGTCAGCACATCAGATATTTTGATTGCTGGGATATATGTGATCAAACTATGTGGTTTCTATCCTCTGGTGTGGTGAGGGTAAAAGCAGTTAATATCTGTGTGTCAAAATACAATTGGTAAGTCAGATTTAAGAATTTTGTGTGCTTGAGCTAATGCCAGCCTGACAGCCCCTTGGAATTAATATTTCCAGGGAAATCTCCAAAGCAGATAGTTGGTTCTGGAGTTTCCATGGCATCAGGCTGGGGTGAGTAGAAACTATGTAGCCGAATAACAATTCAGGTAATTAGGTGGTGAGTAATTGGTAAGGTTTAGTGCAAAATTCACCTTTTATCTCCATCTTGCTGTTGTATTGTTAGTATTTTAATCTGTATCATCCTTAGTATCAACAAATATTAAATGTTTTTCCTAAACTTTTCTATAGATGACAGCGCAGCTCTTCATGGGTAATCTTGATTAGAAGTGTGTGGACCATCTTTGAAAAGGCAACTCTTGCAGAGGGGATTTGAACTAGGCTTCTGGAATGGCAACCAGAATAGGAAGGCAATAGAAGGAGCTTGCTGGCTACTCAAACTTTTCTTCTTTTTTTTGGGAGAAGAAAAGCAGGTATCTTTGCTATTCTCAGTAGAGCTTGGTTTTAAGGACATGGGGGGGGAGAAATAAAATAAATTTGGCCTCTTCTAGGACAATCCTTCCATTCTTCACTAACTGAGCCAACAACTATGGAGAAAATGCACAATCCAGTTTTGGAGGTTTAAAAGTTACACAAATCTACATAACTTCTCATGAGACGATGCCATGGGGGGTTACAGCTAAGTAGGGTGGTTTTTTTTGAGACCTTGTCAGGATGAAAATGTTTTTATTCTCTAATTGTGTAACAGAAAATAACTTATTCCACTATCCCTACTTTTGTTTCATTTCCAGTTTTGAAGGCAACAAATCACTTGGTTAACACTCTAAGAATTGAACTCCCTTCAAGTTTTCAAGCATTCGTTTCATTGGCATTCCTTATACTCCTTTCAACAACTGGTCTTTGCTGAGCACCAAATCACTGATGCTATTTCTGCTCAGTTCTGTGTGAGAAGACTGATGCTTAGCAGAGTGTGTTGTGATGGCTCTGTAAATTAGCAACATAGACAATATTAATCTATGTGTATTCTCACTTAACTTTTAGCTGTTTGCTCATGTCCTGTGTTTCAACTTTAACACCTAGCTGCTTTACTGATTCATGGCAGAAAGCTGCTCAACAATGTGAGGTACAACTTCTGCTGTGTTTTGTGGGGCTTTTTTGCTTTGGGTTTTTGTTTTGTTAATACAGGCTTTCACCAATTCTGTTGCTAGCTAACTCTAGGTCAGGGACCAAGTTAAGGGTTAGAATTAATATGTCTCTTCATTTCACTGCTACTGAGAAAGTAGTTATAAATGAAGCTTAGATTACAATTATTTAAAAACAAAAAAGCCTTGCAAACAAAAATTGAGTTAGATAACAGAAAGGAAAAAAAAAAAAACCCAAACTCAAACAGCAAACCTTAATGTGAATGTACACATTTGCTATGTCTCTAGGTTTGCATTGCTTCATGATTGTAATGTAACTGTCTTCATTAGACAAAAAGGCTTAACAATTTACAGAGCCAAGCTGAAATCAAGATTTTTAAGAGCTCTTAGTTCCTGTAGATGAATACTGTTTCATTGGGGGGAGAGACTGTGTTAGTATTTTGCTTGTGCATATTCAGTTAGCAGGTGCGAGGGTTAGCATTCCCTCAGTAGAAGTCTGGTAGTTGCACATCTGAAGGACAAGAATGTCTGATCTCTACAATGATGTTTCAGATATCTGCTTAGGACTGAAGTCATTTCACTTCAGAGTGCGGGAAACATAAATGCTTTTTCCTGTTTCTTGGAATGAGAACTTAGGCTATAGTCTAATATATCAACCTTGCTACACTTTTGTTTTCATTAGTTTTTGTCTGGAAATACTGTTCAATATACATGTAAGCAATGTAGCCTAAAACATGCATCCTAACTGGAGCCTCATTGCTCCTTTGCTTAACTGTTAATGAAACACTCTTTTGCTGTAGCAAGGTTTGAGCTGTTTTGTTTTCTGCTGTCCATTGTATTAGGTAGAGACATGAGAAACAGGCTTTAATATGTGTTTGTTCAGAGTGAAGCTTTGAATATTTTTGGAAAGTCAAAGTTCTTATTTACATTAAGAATAGTATAGATAATACAGTTGTTATTGTGTGTATTGTTCCAAAGTATGTGCTTTTTTTAAAGACATTATGATATTCTAGTGCATAATAGTCTGCAAGAAGTGAAAATTCAAACTAAAAATATTCAATTAGCTTTGATGTCTCTCTAGGGAACTAGTTGTGGTGGTTTTGATTTGGTGGTTTGTTTTTTTTCTTTTAAAGCAATTTCATTTGAGCAGATAGGTTTATACAGGAAATTTGAGTAGTCACAAAGACAAAAGAGGTCGAGTCCTCTGACCCCTTTTTACTGTGGACTCTAGTAACAATATGAATGCTTGCACTATGTTAATTTTTGCTGAAATAAAGCAAGCCAGTATTTTGGGTATATAAATAGTAAGCATAAATGTAATTATAAGGATATAGGATTATGGAATAATAATTGAAATCTGGCTTGAAGAGACAGATGGGGTTTAGCTGCTTTACTGAGAATTTAATTGCTCTTGGGATGAAATCTGGATTTCATTGGAATGAATCTGTTTTATTTATTATTATTATTGATGTGTGGCCAGAATTTTAGTTGAGTGTGAAATAGTTACGTTTTTCTCTTCTTCCTAGGTAGTTTT